GATTTAAAACATTAAATAGACTAGATTTACTATTAGAAGTATTTATTATGAAAATAAAATCTTCAATGTCATCATTCATTTTTTTCTGTATGATGATTATTTCTATAAATGTTATAGAATCAATTTGTTCAGAAATAATTGTCACGAAAGGTTTTATATAATTAAATTATTAATATATTTTTAGCATGTACGGATTTCGGTAAAAAGAACAAATAGACATTTATTAGTTACATTTGTAGTTTTTTGGATAAATTTTTGATATGCTTAATTTCAATGTCATACGAAATATTTACAGAGGTTTTTTTATTTAGTAATCTAACAAAAAATAATTAAAAGGCAATTATCCTTTGTCAATTGAGAATTCATTATCTGATGAAGTAATCATAAAGGAGCTTTTGTCTTTGATAAGATTTCAAAGAATGGATGTTCTAAAAAAGCATTGTGCTAATGAATATAAATTGTACATAGAACAAAGTTTATCGCACAAAAAACAAAAACAATAATAAAAAGAAATTTTTAAATTCTAAACTCTCTTTTTTTTGTGAATTCTTCATATCGATTGACATATTTGTCATACCCCCCCAAGGAATAAATGGTGTACAATCTTTATTTGAATTAATTTCTTTCAAACATTGACATGGATGCTAAGTTCAAGTTTTTTGATAAAAAAAAATTGTTTTTCTTAAATAAAAAGAATAAATAATTAGTTTTATGTTATATCAACACTGAGTTGTCATGAGACGAAATGAGAAGAAAAATTTTCAAAAATTTTCAAATTACAAAACATACAATGAATTAATGATAAAATAATCATTTCCATTAATATTTTGTTTTAATTTCTAGGGTATAAAAACATTACTTACTGTTGTTATTTTATATGCTATACTTTGGTTACCTATGAATGTATTTCAATTATGTCTTAATTTACTTTGTTATCAAAGAGTGCAATATCAAAATTTTTGTAGTCATGGAACATTACTTCAACTTCTTTATATAGCATGTCATTTTTTAACTGTATCAAATACAGCTATCAATCCTATTATTTATGGTTTTGCTAATATTCGTTTTCGAGTAAATTATTTTCAAATAAAAATATATTATTTACTGTTTCTCTTATTTTATTTTTTCGATTTATTTAGAGTGATATTCGACAAATAAGACATTGTATTTTTCATTGTCAAGGACGAACATCATTTTATTATCGTACAAGATTTGCACAAACACCTTCACAGGAACTTCAAATTAGACGTCGAAGTTCTAAAATGAATCAAAATTTATCAGTTAAGTAATAGAAAATAAATTAATTTTTAACAATAATTTATATTGTATCTTAAACAACGAAGAATATTAAATACTGATATTGAAAAATATCGAAAAAAACTTGTTAATATAGAAATGAAATTCTATATTACTATTTTATTTTTATGTATTTGCTAATGAATAGATGTTGTACTATAATTGTTGTCGTTGTAATAATTCTTTTTTGTTTTATTAATATTTATTTCGTTTTACACCATTAAACGAAACAATTCAAAACGAACATGTTTACAAATTACAATATATAATAACTACTATCTATAACCGATGGTATGACAAATCAAAAGGTAGCAAAGTCATGTATTTTCCATCGTTTTGTTTCTTCATGCTTGACTGACATTAATGAGTCACTTCTGTCTTTACATGCATCTTTAATTACGATGTTGTATCACAAGAATAACTTAATTTGAAGTGTCAGAAGATTCGCGTATTCTATTAAAGTTTCATTGTCACGAATAAACCATAGTAAATTATTATTCAACTAGTACGGGACCCGCAACTAGCAATCATTATTATAATGTAGCCGCTCAAATGCAATCTTATTTAAATAATGGTAGTGAACATTTTCAATCATCTCAAGGCGGATTCCATTGATACCAACTAAGTCGTGCTTTGCATAATGTAGCTTAACTTTTCGATATTAATCCTATGATTGCTAATGATGTTGGTAGATTTTCTAGAAGATTTATGAGAAATTTACTTACCTAAAAAAAGAAACAAGATAAAAATATTATTAGTTTTTTTTATAAAATGAGGAAGACTCATCTAGGAACAGTTTTGTGACTAAATACTTGCCATTGATTCATATATTTTTTTTATGATTAAAAATGTAATTTTTCTAACGTTTTATGCATATATTACAATAGTTTTTCCTAATAAAATGATACATTTGTCGTTTTAACTTGAATAGTATACATTATCATTGCAGAGCATTAGTCTAAACATTGAGTAGCGGTGTTATTCGTATTGTGATACAATATAATCGATGCATATTCACAATATGAAAAGATTAATTACTGAATTGGTCTATTGATTGACATTTTTTATCCTATTTGGTAATTCTTAAAAAGAATATTGTCTTCATAATGAAAATTATTTTTTATTATGACGTAGTCAACTTAACGATTATCTTCAACACTTCTTCTCAGAGTGTAGCTTATATCTAAATATCATTAGAATGTCTCTGTCGCTAAAAAATTAGATCATTTTCATTCGAAATTAATAATACAGAAAAATTCTTTCTTTTCTTCTAAATTAAAAATGATCTCATGCAATATTATTTGAAAAGAAAAAATGAATTGAAATCAAATTAATTCATGTTGACATTCATGAACATAAGAAGAATTTTCTTTTTAAGTTGAAAGTAAAATCTATCCAATAATATTATTTTCGGATGTCAGACGAGTTCTATTGAAATCCTTTTTTCTTTTTTTTACTCTCTAATGATTTTGAAAGGTTTCAATGATAAAATTATTCAATCTATTTTTTTGAAAACAATGTATGAAGAAAAAAGAATAGAAATAATATCATTTTTATGGTTTCATTTATGACATTATAAATTTTGAAAGAAAAAAAAATAATAATAATAATACGATTTGTCATACAAACTCAAATCAACATGCAATGACAGATGATATAGAAAATATAACTATTCCACAATCAATGTCAAAATTTACACAATTTTGTCAAAATAAAATACCATGGAAAAATATTCGATATTATTGTTGTCAACCAAGAAAAGATGTTCGTATTTTTTGGTTTACTTATATTTTTATATTAATTATTTTATTTATAACATTAATGGTTGCATTTTTATTAAAAACATCAGTAACTATTAATTATTTGAGATGGTATAATGATAGTTGTACTATTGATTCAATTACAACATCTCCAATTATTGAATGTGATCGTTCATTACGTCTTTATTGTAGTAAAATAACAGAACGATGTGCTTGTTTGGATAATATGTATTGGAATAGTTCATTTTGTGATTGTTCACAAGGAATGTATTATAACGGTATTTATTGTCAAGAACGTCTTACATATGGTCAATCATGTAATCCTCAATCTGATTTTTGTATGGAATATTTAACATGTTCAGCAAGTACAAATACTTGTGATTGTTCATCAAATGCATATTACAATCAAACAACATGTAATACAAGACTATCATTTAATGCAACTCAATCATGTACATTAGCAAGTCAATGTATTAGTGGTCTTATATGCAGGTAAATAAATTTATTATTTAATTAAATAAATATAAAATTTTGAATTATTTAGTTCTAATATATGTACATGTCCAACATCACAATCATGGAATGGTTATGGTTGTTCAAATTTATCTACACATGGTGAATATTGTTTAACAAATCTTCAATGTGATAATTCAGTTTATTTAATATGTAATAATACATATTCAAGATGTACATGTAATATAAATTTTTATTGGGATGGTGAAATTTGTCGTTTACGTCTTAATAATGGTTCATTATGTAATAATACTCAACAATGTTATTCAAATTTAATATGTATTAATAATTATTGTCAATGTCCATTAATTTATACTCAATATTGGTCAAGTCAAACATTAACATGTGAATTATGTTATGGTAAAGATCTTTTTCTTTTTGATGGTATTTGTTATCATATTCCAGTACCAACAAATTCAACATTATCAACATATTCAATATTATCATCAAATTATATATTATCAACAATTCAATATGATTATCAATTAACTTATATATTTAATCAACATATACGTGTTTATAATTGGACACCTATTTTTTTATCAATAAAAAATCCAATAAGAAATTATTTTCAATGGACACCTGATAATACTTTAATAAAACCAACATATTTATGTAATGAAACAATTCAATCAAATTATACTGGTTATGTTGTTTCATTTAAACTTGAAATAAATACTCCATGTCTTCGTGCTTGGCCAAATACAACGATTGGACAATTAGTTAATCAACTTAATACATATGTTTATCATACTGAATAGAAAGATAGAAACAAAAAATTTATTATTTATTTTAAAATAACAATATTTAGTTGAATGATTGATTTTTCTTCAAAAGCAAGAAAGAAAAATCAACCAAAACATTACTAATATTATCTTCTACATAAGATTGATTGCTGTTAAATTTTAGTTTTTATTAGATTTTGAAGATTTTGTTTTTAACAATGTAAAAAATTTGAACATAGAATCAAAGAAAATAATAACCATGAAATGAATTAATTGTTTATTGTAGGATTTTTCTCATTTTCATTTAGTATATCTTGAATAGGATGTTCAAGAACTTTATCAATAAGACCAAGACTTTTAGCACTTTCTGCATCAAAAAATCGATCACGTTCAAGTAATTTTTCTATAATTAACAAAAACAAAACAAAAAAATGTCACATACAAATAATAAAAATGAAATAATTCATTACCAATGTCTTCACCTGTTTGACCTGTATGTTTTACATACAGTTTATTAATCAATCGTTTTAATTTCAAAATTTCTTCTGCATGAATCATTATATCTGTTGCTTGACCCTTTTATAAAATAATCAAAAGAACTAAAACAAAAAACAAAAGATTACTTTCAAATACCTGTATACCACCTGATGGTTGATGAACCATAATTCTCCTATAAAATTCAAAAGAAAAATATATTCTCTATTTCATATTGATTAACATGTACATACGAATTCGGTAATGAATGACGTAAACCACGTGTACCTGATGTTAACAATAGTGATGCCTGGTAGAATAAAAGATTTATTTGGATTCTTCTCATTTTGTTTAATTCATCTCACCATTGAACATGCTTGACCAACACACCAAGTTGCAATTGGTGGTGTAATATACTTCAAAAATAAAAAAATAAAAACATTTATTCTAATATTAAAATAATTAAACTTTTACATACTTGCATTGTATCATAAATTCCAAGACCTGCAGTTATAATTCCACCTAAAATAATCTGATAAATAGGAAATATTGAAATGTTTGATAAACAAACCTGGACTATTGATATACATATGAACTGGTTTTTTTGAACTTTCTGATTGAAGAAAAAGAAGTTGTGCAATAATTACACTTGATAATTCATCAGTTATTGGACCCATAAGACATATAATACGTTCTTTTAGTAAACGTGAATAGATATCATATGCACGTTCACCACGTCCCGTTTGTTCAATGACCATGGGGATTAAGGGATACAAATTTTTGGTAGATATATGTAGCGATGTTCGATGTGTTAAACTTGGAACAGGTGACATCTTTTCATAAAAAAAAAATTAGTTCAATCAAAACAAAAAAAAATCAAGTAAACAATGTTTACTCTCAAACATCGTGCAACAATTGAATACATCATATTTATAATCTGAAATCGAAAAAATATAAATTTTCTTCATTTCTTTTACTTTTCGATAGAGCAGAGAAAAAAAATTGTTCGAAAAATAGATATTTTAAACAAAGTAATAAAATTGAAAAAGACGCCTTTCAAAAATAAAATATTATGCAAGCAAATATTCAACAAGAAGAAATAATTCGACGTCAGTGGTGGAAAAAATATAATGAAATAAAACAATATTTGCTATATGAAACTAATTTACTACTAGCTTGGCAACAATGGAATTATATGAATAGATCGAATTTATTAAAAGAATTTATCTTTTATGAAAAAAGAAAACATATTCAAAGATTAAATTTAAAATCAAAACAAATTAATCATTTAATCAAACTGAACCAGTATTATCTGTTATATAGTCAGGATATAAGAGATAAAGAAGAAAAGAGCAATAATAATGATTCTATCTCTTACAAAAGCGAGAGATTAAACATACACACTCTATGCAGGAGATTAGACTATCTCAGTCATCTTAACTTTTACTTTTCTGAACTAGAAAACACAAAATTGTTTTATTGTTTATTAATAGAAATATGAACGAACCATTTCATCGACCGATCATGCTACCTGTTGAACTGAATGTTCGTCATTTGCTATACCATGGAGTAACACAAGATAATTCTCAATTAGACTATAGTACTGGACGACAAACATATCTCAAATTTCGAAAACGACTAGCACCAGATGAAAAGTATTATTATCCTATAACATCATCTATGGATATTACTTGGCGTATAGAAGATTTCTATGAACGAAATAACGATAAAATGCAAATATAAAATAAAAATGTTCATCTGAATCAATATTGAATATTAAAAAAAAAAAGAAAGAAAGATTATCTGCACGATAAATATCAGTTTGAATGTTATTATACTATTTTAATTTTCTTGTTACTGCTTTATTTGATTTTTCTGCTAATTGTCTCATCAATGCAAATCGACGTTGATTTTTATCTGGACGTTGTTGTTGTTGTTCTTGTTTGGAATTTTCTGATGATATTGTTGTAACAAATTGTTCTTGATGATTATTTTCATCAAAATGAATTTCTTCTGATTTTGTAGAAAGATCATCAGATAATGTTGGAAATATTAAATCTTGATATAAATCATCTGTTCCATCATTTGTATTTTGATGTTCTGTTATGATTGGACATTGTTTATTAACATCAGTAACAGCACTTTCCATGAGCCAATTTTCTACAGATGCTAATTGTTGATTGAGATCATCATTTAATGTTTGAACTGGTAATTCTTCAATTTTGTTATCAATTTCAACAGAAGGAGATGGTTTTGGTGCTAAAACAGAAAAATTATATATATATAGTTGAATCGGCTAATTAAATTTCAATGGTTTTCTTATTTTGAGTTACTGAAAAACAAACCACTCGAGCTCGAATTGAGTCAGGTCAGTTTTGTATTCTTCATATTTTATTTAGTCAAAACTTCTTGATCTTAGAGTGGATGTAATGATTAATTTTTCAACTAAAACTACGAGTCATATTAGAAATCAATTTTCTATTCTATAATTTTAGAGATAAGCTTCAAGAGGAAATGCATGCAATAACATCTAAACAGGTATAATTTTATATAATGATCTATTTTTCTTATATCAAATGCCATCGAAATAGAATTGACTAGCAATATTTGGTACCAGTTAACATCAAATGGATCGTCTTCATCCATTCGTTTGGAAAAACAGATTGATGCTATATGAAATGATTCCAGAGCAAAACCAAGGAATTTTTCGTAGAGAGAATTTCATTGGTACAATTATATTAGAGAAATGTGTAGTAGTAGAATTTTTTCTAATGGAAATTCAAATTACCAATTTTTTTTAATATAAATAATGAATCTATAATTTCTATTCAAAGGTTTCTCTTTTTTCTTACGTGAAATTTCTGTATTCTCATTTGAAGAAATATTCCATTCTTTATTATTTAAATAATTTTCAATATCATGAATATAGGCATTAAATTTGTTTTGATACTCTTCTAATAATAAATCTTTTTTTCTATCTGTTTGTTTTTCACGTAAAATTCCACATTGTTCAACGAGATCATCATATGTATTTGTTAATGTTAAAATATCTTTTTCAATTAATTGTATATCATTTTGTAAAAGTGTAATTTTTTTTCGTAATTCACCATTTTTTCCACGTATTTTTATTGCATGATTTAATAAAGGCGATGCATTCATCGATGATTCCATCTAGAATATAAATAAAATCATTTAATTTTCACAAAAACTAACAGAATGTCAAGAGAATTTTATTTTATTTTTTTGATCAAATATTAATAAGATACTATCAACAACTGCTCTTGATCCGTTTAAAACTACTTTTTTTTGCTATTTGCGAAGATTCTTCAGATAACGTTTCTTATACATTCATTACAATGGACGATATGTCGAAGATTTAACGGCATATCTTTTAAGTATGTAAGTGCCAATCTATTCAACAATACATATCATGCGAACAATAAAAAATAGTTTATCATTGAATATAAACCGAAAACTTATTTTAATCACACAATATTATTGATAATGCACTGCTAAACAAAGCATTTTATTGGTTTGAACTAAACAGCCAATCATAACATAATTCAATAGACGGACGGACGAACGAATTTACCATCATATATTCGAATACTAGAGTCTTGTTCGACGACGAAATATGTTATCATGATTGATGAACCCTTAGTAAATTCTTTTTCAGCCATAATTATAAAATTCACCATGACAAAAGAAAACGACAGTGTTCACATTTACGTACTCTACCATAGAACAATTGTTCTTAAGTTTAATTAGAAAACACGTGATTATCGTAAAAAAGTGCAATCTTCATATACGTCAGTGTGTAATAGACTCTCGTTCATATGCATTGAACTACTTGTTGAAAATAGTAGAACTTAAATTCAAGAAAAGACGACTATTTCAATGTTTCGAATGTTATTCGTATTAGGTTCATGTCGATTGATCTTTATGAGTTATAAAAAAATTTCATTTTGACGAGATAGGCCACTGAACTAAGCAAAATATAGGGAATAGCCTAATAGCGACAAGCATAGCCGCTATGCTAATGAAGTTCATTCGATTTGTACTCAAAGTCTTACCTCATAATGTGCTTTCAATTGATTACATGGGATCATTGTCTTCATTACAAAAACAATGGTGTTATTAAAAACAAATAATAAAGAATGAGCTAATTATGCAGTTTAACTCCTGTTGATTACACATACTTTCAAATAACGGGTGAGTCATAAAGAATTATACTGTTAGTATTTTTAAAATTTTTCTTCTGTTATTCCCTTATTTGAAACATTTTTTTAATCAAAAGATAGCGTTTAAGATTCTCCATAAGATGATATATTTTATGTAACGAATATAGTTTCTTCCCGTTTTTTGGATTAAATGTAGTCGTACAGTAAGATCATGTACTGAATGTAAAATTTTTTCTTTTTCAATTTTTTTTGACAGAACGTTTTATTTCGTCTATCAATGTTGCCTTCGTTGTTATATGATCCCAATTCATAGATTTAGCTAGTTCATTCCATAAACTGTAATCTAGTGGACGTAAATCAGGTGAATTTGGTAGTCAACGGTTCTTGGAATGAAGTCAGGAAAATGATCAAGATCAGCACACCACTTTTGAGTGCAGTGATGTGTATGACATTTTGCACCATCTTGTTTAAATGTCCAGTTGCTTCCTAACATTTTATTGCCGGATTTTAGAGCTACTGGAAGAACATTATTGATTTATGTTTCTGCATCCATTGTTCCTTCTTCCAAAAACACTGGCACTGTCAGCCCTTTAGCATATACCTAACCACACCATCATCTTTGCTGGAAATTTCGTTTTTTGATGGATACCACCTTGTTTATCTGTCTCTTTCCTATTAATCGCCCATACACGGTCGTTCTAGTCATTGTAGATCCCATCTAAATCAAAATATTTTTCGTTGATAAAGAGCCATTTTTTGGTATCTTCTTTGTTGTAATGATTTAACACCCAATTTGCAAACTTAACCCTCTTCTTCTTTTTGAAGATCAGTTAATTTTGGTTGCTTAATTTTTTTGTATGGGAAACAGTGAAGATCTTCACGAAGTATTCGCCGTGCACTTGTTCTTGAAATATTCATTTCGGCAGCTAATTTTCTTGATGACACCCGTTTCTTCTGTGCTAGACGCCATTTCATCTCCAAGATATTGGCTTTTGTTCGAACCGTGCGTGGACCACCGAGAGAATGAGATAGATTGATAGAGCCAGTGTTTCTGATCATTTTAATCCATAAATTAGTTGTTAATAATGAAATTGCTCCACCTAAATCACGATCAATTTTTGCTGATCCACCACTATTTTCATATTTATTTTTTACAGCTGTTTGTATATCTTTACTTTTCATATTTTTTCAAATATGACTAAAACAATTTTTGATCCTAATCATATACGATTTTATAGAGAATTTTAACCTCCATCTTTTGTTAAAAAAAGATGTCTCAATCTGATGGAGAATAGAAGAGATATATTCAAAATACAAACAGTATAATTTTTTATGGCCTACCCGTTATGTTTTTCACGAATGAAACTTACAGTGACTCAAACGAAATCAATTGATGAGAGCGTTTGCCTTGTTCATCATTACGATTGGTCGATTAGAATCCCTGTTTTCTCATGATGAAGACTCTAGGACCAAAATTAAACTTCTTTTAGGCAAGTTTGTGCAGATTCTGGCACGTTGATATAAAAAGATTGCGGACATTTTAATCAATCGTATGATTAGCACTAGAGTTTTGCAAGGTTTCAACAAATCAAAACCGTAACTGAATCCTAAAGAATCCTCATCAGTTGTGGAACTGTAATGAATTTGCAGGGAATTGCCTGAAAAGCTCATTTCATATGACAGCTTCTGTTGTTAATTTTCAGTTCTACTAAAAGATAACAAAACTTCTACGTTAAAAAAAAGAAAGAAGAACTTGACGAAAATGTTCACAAAATAAGAAATTAACAAACAGATAATTTCAGTATAGAAGGTCGATGACGCGATGTCTCTATGATGGTTGAATGGATGATAACATAGAAAGAATGTGTTGAAATTAACTTTTAATTTAGGTTACTCTGTAAATCGTACTAAAAGTGATTAGTAAAAAGTTTTAAAAAAATCTGTTGAAACTTCACCGTAAAGATTCTTGATCTACAATAAAACTTTCATCATTTTCTTTTATTTAATGAATATCATTGGACAAAGTTATCTAGCTATTTGGCAAGATTCTCACACTGTCACCTTGTCGACGTAATGCCAATAGAATGCGCCATGGAAGAGGAGCTTTGGTAGGATCAATATGAATAACTTGCGTCTTATGTATTCGCTCTTGGAACAATTCAATTTGTTTCTTGTCACAATCTAGTGTAAGCTGAAAGATATCATTGATCTTTATGTCATCACTTCTATGTGCGCCCATTTTGAGATTAGTATTACATTTTCCATGTAACCACACTTCGCCATTACTGAGCCAGCCAGCGACGACGACTAAATGATATATAATCTGTCGTAAACCAATATCAGAAGTGCAAATACCAATAAAAAAAATGTAAGAACCTGTGCCTTGTTCAATTTTAAATTTCACTACGCGTCGACCCTTAGAATAAAGTTGCTCACCACGAAAATAGACAAATTTGAGATCGTTATCAGCATGTTTAACACAATAACCTCCATCATCCATTGTCCCTAGCCCACTAACTTCTGCAAATCTTTCTTCAATTCTTGATGATAATAATGCTTTTGATGGCAGCAAATCTTTGCTTCTTGTAGATGTGTTCCCAATATTACCCTGCCTAATCCTAATGAATTGAACAATAGAACTACTGTCTTCTTGGATGTAAATAGTTGCTTGTGATTTAACTTGTAATTTCAATTCATTCAACTGCTCCATCCATCGATTTAAATCAATTTCAGAGAAATTCTCGTTTTCTCGTGCTGCACGAAGTTTGATGGCAATATCTTGGCATACTGTTGAAAGTTGTTGATTAGAGCGTTTAACGATTTGACGCAGATCGGCTCGAGCTTTTTCAGCTGCTACTTGAATCTTTGCTATTGACTCTTTCTCCCATTTGTCGATTTGTTCGTATGATATTTGATCATTCAATTGCAGACAAATATCCTGTCGAATACAGTCATGTTCTTGCATGATATTTTCTAATTGAATGGTAAGGTGTTGTCGATGTTCGACGACATGTTTACCACAGAAAGCCTGTTTGCATCCGTTGCATGTCATTATACCACCAATCTTGTGACATAAGACGCACTCTTTCTTTTCAAGGTATGCTGAATTCATTGCTCTAATTATAATATCTAAAAACCTGTGCAAACTATGAAAAATAATATTGAACTTGAATGTCATATGTACAAATAGAGTGTGAAAAAAACCAGAACAGATTAATTATAGATGAATTATTCCTCATTCTGGATGAATGCTTAGAATAGAAAAAGAGATCGGACATATTTCTGTAGTGAAAAAAAGAGGAAAAATATCAAGTCTTCATGTTAAATAAGGTATTTGTAAAGACTTCCCTGTCAAAGTCTATTATTATACTTCTGTGGAATCTCTCCAACTAGGTTGAAAACTGTCGTATATATGTGAGATTATCGCTGATCTTGACACGTCAATATTCTTTTGTATCATTTGTCAAAGACTAAACAAAATGTAGCAGGAATAGTAACAAATTATTACGTGGATATACTAAACACAATAAGGAATTGATAACAGACAGTGACAATATGTGCACACTTCAATACGTAACAAAAATTAAATGTATAGGCACTGACACATGTCAAATTTTATACACTAAAACATAATGTGCCATTAACAATAGTGTTGCAAAATTTAACACAAAGATTTATTACAATCATAGGTATTATGTATTTGATTATGCTGTAATCTATTTGTTTAGCATTAATTTAGCATTTTCCGTTGTGCGTGTAATTACATATAAATACAACACTTAAATATGTTGCACTTTCATGTTTTTCCTTTTTAATGTTGACTCACGATCAGTTGGTACGAAGAAATAAATATATAGGGTGATCGAAGTCAAAGTCGACTCAAGACAATCGGATCTTAAGATCTGATCATCTCATTTTCGAACAATGGAATTCAATCAATATGAGAATATTATCAATCATAATTAAGTCTAACAACGGCAATCATTCACTTCTAAATGCGAGATAGCGAAAGTGACGAAGGCCAGACTAAAATCCATAGCATCATTTAAAATATGTCGCGTTACTACTAGCTAGAATATGTGACAAAGTGCGATTGACGCAACATATTTTAGATTAGTGTGTAGGACTTGTATGTAAAAATGAGCAAGACTTGATGATAAGCTGATTCATACTGCTTAAATTGCAATATGTTCGAATTGGTTTAAATACTATACTTACATTAAGACAATGACTACACTACCTTACAATTTGAAATATATCATCATCTTTAGATAGAACATAACATCTTAGCAACATCTGCTTCTACTGTGTTTGTGCTTTATATTAAAACATAAAGCGAATTCTACAAAAAAAAAGACGAATACTATAAGGTTTGTGTTATTGGTTAGTCGATACTTATTCTCTGAACTTGAGTTCTCAAATCATATTAAAAATCCACAATGCGCATGAATATTTTTCAAGGAATGTCTACTATTAGAAAATCCGTATTAGTTACTTGCAAACAAGAATCAATAAATTATTGCATGGGACATTCAATACGTAGTCCATCACCCGCATTTTTGTCGACCTTCACACAAGTGAGATCCTCTGGTTCTTGGAGAAACTCGGATGGAAACTTCTTGCGGATAAATTCCGTCGCTGGAGAATGGAAATTGTCATAGAATGCAATAAAGATTTTGTCTTTGTCTTCTGTGGACAACTTCATGTAGCTGGGATGTTTCTTCAATACAATCTCACCAAAACCTGCACTATATAAATCTAGAGTCTTTTCAATTTCTATTGCTGCTGGACGTCGTTTTGGATTGTAAGCTGTGCACCGAGCGATCAGATCATCGAATATAGGACTTTTTTCTTGAAATGCAATTTTATTACTAACGAATGGTTGAAATGAGTGCTTGGTCGAAGTGAAAAGTTCATTCAGTGTCAAACCAAATGTAAAGATATCGAGTTTTTGATCATAACTACCTTCATAGAACTCGGGTGGCATGTATGATTGGCAGCCGATTTGCGTATGTTGATTAAGCGGATCGACAACTCTCGCAATTCCCATATCACCAATCTTAGCTATATAATTTTCATTGACAAGAATATTGTCTGGTCGTATATCCCGATGAATCATACGATGTTCATGAATCTTTCGCATTCCACTAGCAATATTTCTTGCCATATCGAGTTTGCGTCGCAGAGATATGTTGTCTCCTTTTTCTTTTATAATATTGGCCAGACTTCCACGAGACATGTATTCCATGACAAGCATATATCTTTTATTTTGACCATGTCTAGATGCTGTAAATCCATATATCTTGAGAATATAAGCGCCAGAAAGTTCCGCATAAGCAGCCAATTCTTTTAGAAAGCTTTTCTCAAGCCTTTCAGCATCATTCGATTTCGGTACAGTAATCACCTTACATGCAACAGAACGATTCTTCGATAACCATCGAGCTTTGAATACGGAACCTGGAAAATAAATATATATATATATGATATGATAGATTGCAACCTGTAGAAATACGTACCGAATGCACCACTTCCAATTTCATCACCAAGTTGAATATCTTCTACTGGAATTTGTTGAATTGTTCGACGCGGTGTAACAATAAGTGGATGCGAAGGCTTGTGTGTTTGTGTAGTAGCATTACGATCCACACATTTTTGACATAAATCATAATTCGGACAAGTATCACATTTAAATCGTAAGCCTTTAATAGGTTCAAGTTTACATCCATCGCAGACAATCGATTCATGAATTTCACTAGCACATAGTTTTTTAAGTTTATCAAACGTCACTTCGTCGTCAGTCACCTCTTGACCAAATAGTTCGCCAGGCGATTTGAAATGGGCAAATGCATGGCCGCTCTTGTGTTCCTTCGATTCTCTCCGACATTCAAAGCAATGACCACATAAATTCAAGTCTTTACAATTTAAACACTTGTAACGATCACTCCTGATTGGATAAGTATCACATGCTGCACATCTCACCTTATGTGTTTCCCTGTTCTCATTATCATTACCACCAAGACCACCTTCAAGCACTAGCTGTAGAATTTTCACAAGCACGGCATTACGAATCGTATCTTCATCATCTTGATCATTGTTGTCATCTAAAAAGTAGATTCTGTTAAAATAACTCTATTCGTATTTTTCTACATAGATGTTGCATCCTTGGTTTAGTTAACATACAATGTACTCTATTTGCCTTCTTCTATAAGTAGCACTAAGGATAATTAATAATATCTATAATATATTAGCAACCTAACATGGATGACAAGAGAATATAATGAGCTACAATATGATTCTCTTAGATACCTAACGAATAATTCTTATATGTTCTTGAGTTTCTTTATTTTCTCTAACATAGACTAGAACAAAATCGTCATATGTTGCTGCAATCACAACAAAAATCATAAGTAAAATCACACATTGATTCAATCAATTAGCAAAGCTATTTAAGATCAAATGAGAGAGTATATCAACTCACTTTGAACAGTGAATAAACAAAAATGATAGAGAAACAGCAGAGATCTAACCGATATAATCAGAGCAGATATGTCAACTCTCTCGGTTTAATCGGAAAATTTTGTTCGCGTAACCCTTGAATGCTGATGAGAGTCCAATTTTATATGGGAAAATTTTTGTTTTTTACTTCCTCTAGAATTGTCATGCCTGAATCAGATACATAAAGCCTTTGCTGTTTGACAACAGCAACAGTATACGTAGATACTAGAATAAGAACGTTAAAGCAACGAGAGAACGAAATCACTTCTGTTGGATAACTCGAAATATAGACCCTCTACAAACGACGCTTTTGACCGAACGTATCGATCTATACGTTCCTAAACATCTAGTAGTTATTATATTGACAAATTAATCAAAGCGATTTTTTTTTGTGAAATTGTTAAATGCTCAAATCTAACAGGATATAAAGAATAAAGTTCTACAGTCCTAATTAAGCAGTACTTTATGACTTTTTCCAGTTCAATTGCATGTTACCTGATTCTTCTTTCACATCGGCAAGAATATCGGAAGCAGATGAAGAAGCAGTATGAGATTGTTGAGTACCAGACATTTTTCTTCTCTCTGATTCTAAACCGATTCAATGAGAAAAAAAAGTTTTGAAACAATATTACAATTACAAAATGTCCTCACTCATTGTTGATGCATTTGTGGGTGATTCTGGACCCACATTGTATTGAAGTCTTTCGCAGTCTTTTTTTGTTCCTAAGTACAGCTTCATGTAACCATCGTGAGTTTGAAAATATAGATATACCTTTCAAAATGACCTTTCCTTGACGCTGCTTTCCATCGATCTCAACCGTGTATGTTTCATAAGTTACAATCGAATTCGATGGAGCTCGAATATTTTGTTCGGGCACGATATCAAAGCCGCTTTTGTCTGACCAGCGAATCAGACAAAATTGTTCTTCGGCGCTATTATTCTTTTCTAAAGTTATAATATATCATCAGCTCTTTGTTACGGTCAGATTTCAACAACATCTTACGAGAATGTTTAGCTAATGATTCTTCAAGAAATCGACGAAACATACTTAGTTCTTTTGTCTACAAAGTAATAATATTGCTCATTTAAACACACAAAGGTGTAGGTGTGGGTGTGCGGGTAGATGTGCGTGTGTGGTGTATGTGGGTGTGATTATGGATGTCAAGTCTCCTTAACCCACATTCACTTCCACACCCACAAGCCCACAGCAACAAAACCAAGTATTAGCAAGCAAGTATCATAGTATTGCAGAATAAGCGACCGTTAAATGAAATAATAATTATTGTACAAACATGAAGTGAACGAAAGTAAATACTACAGTGTCTAAAAGTGTATGATTTTGCTCAAAGCAGAAAGTCTAAAATGGAATTTTTTCAAAAACGTGCTTCATTGTTCTCCCTTCTTATCATTTAGAAAATCACATTATATTCTATTGTATTCGTGTTAACGATAATTATTCGCTTTCAACTGATGCTGATAGTATTGTTTTGCGGAAACGTCTATTTCCGTTATTTTTCAGTCCTGTCCTTGCTAGGATGGCAACGAGAACGATATTAAATATTGAGGTTCCCGAATTTTTTTGCTTACTTTCGCACACCTTAAGAGATGTTTAATGATAGGTGGGATCCTCGTAAGGTGCTCTTCTTTTTGGCCAGTTTGTAGAGAAAATGAAACTGCATATAACTTGAAATCTTCTTCGACGACTAACTTGTTTTGATGGAGTTATGGCTTTCACAAGTTATATGCCGTTTTAGGCTCCTGCTAGCATGAAATTTCGAAAAGTTTTCGAATAGCAAGTATTGACCTGATTTTTACATAGCCTGATAGAGGAACGAAAATTGTATGTGCTCTGAAATTTTTGCAATGATTGAACGAGTATTCGCAAGGTTACGGATTTTTATGTAAAGTACGGTTTTTTCACTATCCAAGTGCTTTTTAAAAACTTTGCCTAAAATCTCAGACCTATAGTATATTACAGTAAAAATCTGTTATGACCAATAGATGCGTCATCAATTTCTGTGTCTACTGAGGAGTACAGAGCTGTTACTTTGAAAAAACATACACCGAAGCAAAAATAAGTTTTGTACATGTCCTAAAAAATAAAAGAAACCCGAAAATGGCTTTTTTACTTGAGGTCGCCTTTGACATATTTTTTTACTTCGAGTTACAGATATGATTCTACACTCTATATTACTCGATAGAGAATTTAATAAATAACAATACTATAAATGGACGTATAAGAAAATAAGATGGCATAATAAATTTGGGTGGATGAATATCTGCTCATAGTATAATGTGTTCTAATGAATTGTGTAAAATTTTTTTCACAGGAACGAAATAATTATTTTTTAACTTTTATAGTCTTCTATGAAGACTTCTGCTAAAACTGAGGTTTTTATGCTGGTTTCTATTGTAAGAGTCTGATAAATAACAGAAGAAAAATGTCCACTTTATGACACTCGAATTATATTAGCATGCAGATGTTTGTCATTAAAATATAGATTTCGAAGTTAGTTTCCGAAAAAACTCGTGCGCTTATTATGCCTCATCATATAGTCTCGATTCTGTTCTCTAATATATAGTTGGATGATCAGTCATGTATACAAGAGTGAGAGAGAAGAGAATACTAACATCTACATCTACATCCACCATTTTCAGTTACATTGTCAAAAGAAAAGAGAAAGTATTAATAAACTCAGCTATCACCGCCGATCTATGCAGTGGTTTACATGTATACTTACGAGAATGCTCAGGTGAAAACGGGAAACGGAAATCGACAAAAGTCTTTTCTATTGAGCACTAGCTAATAGTAGCATTCCATTGTAGTAAACAGTTGCAATCTGTGAAAGGTCATCTGGCTATTTTCTAATTCAGAAAAGTTATGCTTAGTGCACGTTTCGTTATGATTTGCTTACGTAAAACTGTTACAAGAGATGTTCGTAAAGTTAAACTTTCATTATCACACAATCTCCATGCTCATCTAATCTTCATGCTAGCTAAGACTGAAAATGTAACATAAAATGCGTTACATGTTGTATTACGAACATGGGCGGCGGAGCGGTCTTAGTCTAGGGTAGGCTCAACTTCTAAGCCAAGCCAGCACCGAGAGTCAATTGAAAGACTTTTTTTCCGTTTATAATGGTAAGCGCTACAGATTCTCTTGCTAGGTTTAAATTCCGTAGAATTTGATAACTAAAGGATGGTTCGAAAGTTTCGACCCCTCTCTATAAATCGATAATATCTACAACAGACTTATACAAAGTTATTGATCAAATTGTGTTATTTTGTAGAGGAAGATGAGAGTTATCATTTGAAAAAAATATTTCGAAATACATAAATCTATTATAATATTATGATCGTTTTAGCAGCTTTGAGCTGGCATCCCACTCCACCTCTTTTTCCTCCTTTTCTTCTGTTCTTTTAAAATTCCTCTTTTTAGCCTCTTTTTTCGAAAAAATCCACTTTTTCCTCTTTTCTCACGAAGAAGCAGGTCGTTGACAAAAATATTCATGAATATATTGATTATTGTTACCGTATCATACAAAAATATCACATAACAAACTGACGTGCTGATCAGTCAAGTTGCATAGCTAAGGAAGCTAAAGTATATGATTTTAGTGATCAACTTCAGCGATATTATATATTCATACTCGGAACCCAATTTTTGTAGTTCTCTAGCGGAAGCAAAAGCACTCAATTATGTTTCCAATATGAAATCGTCATTCTCTCACGATCTTAACATGTTTTTGTGTACTCAAAAAGTGAGTACACTCTAGAATCGGTCAGTGTGTCCGGCCGTTTACACGATAACTTTTGAAAGGAGAGTCCGATTGCGATGAAATTTTCTACACATTTTAGTCTCAATAATATCTCTGTCGAGAGAAGAAGATGAGAATGATTCGTCAAGCTGTTCCTGAGTTATTGCAAAAATAGTCATTATTCCCTATGCCTTCCTATGCGAAAATCGACCTATCCCCGCTTTCGTAAGAAACTTTTCCTATCATAGTCAAATAAAACCCCAACTATTATATACCATTCGATAGAGAATTTCACGAGCTACAAAATGGTATATAAAACATAAAGAAACAAGAAGACTAACTCACCTATTTCAAAGATAATTAAACGGGAAAGGGTTCTGTTCTTGTCCACATTCTAATTGATCCACAATTAGAGCTCTGTCTTTCGATCGCAGAGATGATAGTTCGAGGTTTTCTGGGTCGGAGAACTCTAATCCAAGCTTCATTTGCCTTGAAATCTTATTGGTTGAGCAGCAACCAATAGAAATCAAGCTATAGGAAAAAACGACTTTCTTAGGGTAAATCAAGACGAAGAGTTCAAATCTGAGCTGTATTCATCTCTAAATCCTATTGATTGAGCAGCAGTCAATAGAATTCAAGTGTTTTATAGAAAAGGCTTGCCAGGATAATTTTTACGTCCACACATTCTAGGATGACTCATCTGTCTCATTCACTTTTGGAAGTACACATAACTCTCGGGTTTCAATCCGAGGTTTCCACATTTATTCTGGTTAAGATCGACATGTAAAATTATAATCTCGAGCTCACTTTTCTTGACCACTTTTTTCGGCCCCAGAGAAGCTTGTGATATGAATCTAACAATAGATAGGTAACTCGTAGAGTAGCGCATGCTTCAAAGCAAAGAGTTCCTAGAATGACTAGACTCAGTCTAGAATTCTGTCAGATTCAATGGGATTTGTTCGGCAAGATAGCTTCCGATAGTATGATAACATAAGTTGAAGATTTCTGCTTATCAGAAAATGAAGTAACCCCTCTTCCTCTTCTTCCGAGTTTCTTCGTATTCAATCACATTTTGGAGGTTCGTATATCTCCAAACCGCACACGGAGAAATATAATCGTATACGAAGAAATACAAAGTAAAACGAAAAGTGTAGACGAGCTTTGTTTGTCTATAAACGATCATATTTTTGCGCATACGATCACGGATTTATATGATCACATTACTGGGCGATATGAAACGCCGTATTTCTCCAATTACGAGCGTGTTTGCTTGACATGGGTTAATATTGACAACGGTTTGATGATACTTGGAAGAAATCGGATATGATGGAATGCAACAGCAACATACAGGGGTATCCGATAACCAAAAAGTAAGAGATCATCCAATCTACTCAATACCAGTAAGTCGTTTTATACAGAACCCAAGAAGATGATCATATGTCACTGCGAAAAATTAAGCATTTTCGATAGCACGCGGTCAAATGATTCCCACAAACCTGCTGTCTGGACACAGTTGCAACCAATGTATTAATTTATGTTGAGAAACGGAAAAGTGAAACTGACTTGCGAAAAATGGTCAAAATCACGGAAGAATTGCCGAAAATTGAAAAAGCGCAAGAAAAACTTTCTCACATGCGCAGCCATCCGAAAAAAAGGAACAAACCGCAAAAAGGACATTTAATGAATTTTGATTGTTTCTATTTCTATATACCTACTTAGTTAGACAGTAATACTATACTCAGATACTATACAGATAGAATATTTAGAATATTTTTCTAATGTTTTCCGGTTTTCTAACGGATAAATAAGCAG